GTCCCGTCTCACCGGTTAACATCACTGCCGAGTCCACCTGCAAATAGGGGCAGGGGCAGGAAGAAGGAGGCCCCCAGGAAAGCTCAGCGTGTGCAAGGAGGGCAGCAGAGCCCAGGAGCCCAGCTCCACCTTCTCGGCACCATCACCCTGTACTTTGGTTTCGCCACCTCTTCTCTGGGGTGTAAGTGTGTGTGTGTGAGCAAAAAAAGGCTCCCAGGAAGGAAATGTGGCGGGTGGCAGGCTCTGAACAAGCTGGCACGGCTGATCAGACCCCTCTGTCACTCGCTCGGAGCCGAGCAATGCGCAGTTTTGTTTTTTTTTGAGGGGTCGAGCCTGCTTTCCGGTGATTTTGGTGGTCTTGGCAGCCCCTGCCCTCCTTGGAAGTGCCCTCTACCTCTCTCCATCCGAGAGCTCCAGCCACCAGGATTCACCTGTCAGCAGAGACCACACCACGAGGCAGGGACAAAATCCGCAGAAGAGGCAGGAAAAATAAATAAATATCCGAAGAGCGTCGTGTAGGGAAAGAAAAAAAAAAAAGAAAAAAAAAAAAAAAAAAAAAAAAAAAAAAAAAAAAAAAAAGAGCAGGCGGCAGGAGCAGCCCGGGATTGGGTCCGGGGATGTGAAGCCGAGCATCCCTCCAGGCTGTGCCCTGGAACTGGGAGCGGGGAGCAGAGCAGCCCCCTCGGGTGTGTCTGCGGCTTTCACGCAAACAGAAAGAGCTGAAAGCTTCAGAAACTCSGCGCTCCTGCGCTGACGAGCAGGCAAAGCGGGTCTGTAGGCTGCAAATGAAGACAGAGATCATCTAGTGCCCCCCGCTTATCGTGCCGGGTTGTTCTGAAGTTTGGCGTGGTAAATACAAAATGCATGGCTTTTAATCGTGCCTGTGTGGTTCCAAGTCAGTAGCTGAGAAAGCAGAAGGGTCTCTAGCCGGGACTTTGGTCTTTGTTTGCGAGGGGAAACCTGCTTTGTGTGAATTATTCACCATAATTGSCTATTTCCAAACAGCTCCGCGGGGAGGCTCCGAAATGCGCTCAGGTCTGGCCGGGGCGTGCGGAAAAGCGACGCCCGGAGCTGCTGGAAGTTCAGGGACAATTTTAARTTCCAGATTCTCCTCCCCATCGGGAAGGAGATGGGGCTGAATGGGGGGAGAGACCCGGGGAAAAGGACATTTCGTTGCCTTAAGCGTTGCCTTAAGGAAACACCTCGATTTCTGCTCTGCCCGATCTCCTTCTGCCGCCCCGAAAACAGGAGAGACAAAAATTATATACGCGCCGAAACGAACGGGAGASAACTCCTGGTAAAATGGAGGGAAAGCAGTGGCTGTTTTTTATAGTCCAAGTGTATAATCGGATTTTTTTTTTTTTTTTTCTGTCCTGATAGAAAGCAGATAAATTTAGGAAGGGAGAGCTAAGAGAATAATTACAGGGTGAAGGTAGTTAAATTTTATTTCGAGTCCCAAAGGCAAAACCTGACATTTTATTGCAAACATCTGGAAAGCTTAAGAGACTGGCATGGTGTTTGTTTAAACACTAATAGAGATTTTTATTCTGTAAAACACAAACAAAGCCCATTTAAAAACACTTGAGATTGTAAATATTTTGCGGTGGTTCAATTCTCAAAGCCTGAGAAAACCGGGGGAAGGGCAGGGGGAACGAATCGACAGCATAATAGGGGTATAATTATGAATTAGTTAATATACAACAATACCGTTTGTGCAGACCGTAAAAATAAATTGCAGGCGCATTTTTTTTTTTTTTTCGCAGTCACAATAACTGACCCCGAGCAGCACGGGAACATCACCTCACTCGTGTTTCCAAGCGGCGTCTTGTGCTTGCTTTAAACTTTCCTCTTACTAGAGAGCCAGCCTCGAAAGCCTCCGGTCCTTTTTAAAAAATAATCGGCGCTGTATTAAAGCCCAGTAAATCGCTCACGTTTTCAGACAGCCTTCTGACTGGGTTT